AACTGGATTCGCTTGTAAATAACTATATGGACGGAATTCAACATGTGCACCTAATGCATCGCCTAATGCTAAACCTAAAAGTGATCCTGTAACCTTGTTAATTATTGAAGTTCTTGATGGAACCGTTTGGAGACGAATTGCCACTGGTAGTTTCGGTGGAACATGGAGATTGAGATCATTCATAGCATCTGTTGAATTCATTCTCTACAGATAAATGGTATTAATAGAGATCTAAAATTATATAATATGTATTTCTCATAAATAAACGTAGAAATAGCCAAGAAATGCACTCAATACATGCGTTGATTTAAGGCTAGATTGATAAAAAACTTCCCTCAGTATCGATGCTGTAGACCTAGGACTAGTTCCATTTCGCAGAAAAATATCATCATTTTGGCAGTACAAGGCGCATTCCTGAAATTGTGCCTTACTGATTAACACGAATCACTTTTTGTCTAAATCTGTATAAAACTCTGAGAGTTTTTAGAATTCTTTAGTTCTCCGTATCTTCCGAAACAAAATTCAAAAGTCCAGCACTTCACTTGTTAAACATCGATAACATTTCTCTACAAACGAAACTATACCAAGTTCTCTAGCATCTAGACTGAGTGAGAGTTTTATGCAACTCCTACAGCGACGACCACGAAAATCGCTCGTTTAATATGGCGACGCTAATGTATGGTTACAGGTTCCAGGGTTCTTAGTAAAACTGTCATAACTTTCATTCTACAAATAGACATCTTGGGCTATCAAAGCATGCGCATAGCTCAATATAGGCTCTGCATGGAATAATCTACATTTCTGACCAAGAGCGGGACTTTAATGGTGATTAACTTAGAAGAAATTTTCGGTCAAAATTGATCGAAAAAGAGATATTTGCTTTTTGTTCTGTCTCGGAAAATTTCCTCGTTCAGTATTTTGATACATACCATTCTGTGCAGTTTGGGAGTGCAGCCAATGAAGTTTTATAGTATAAGGCGCACACGAAAAAAAAAAGGTTGCGAGAATTGAAATCATTTCTAAACCCTTGAAAAGATTTATCAAGGATCTAGGAAACGTTTTTAAGATTTCGTGCATTTGCTGCAAAATCTGTAAAAGCGTGTAGGAATGATTTCGATTCTCGAAACCCTTTTTAAGTTTTGTAACGTGTGCGAAACGCCGTTTAAGTTCCGCATCGTGACTTTTTTTTTCCAGAGTAGGGCACAAAAATCAGCTGTCGTGCACATCTCTACTAATGTATTGCTGTTTATGCTTTATCGTTGATTCATTTGTTCAGCACGTTTTTGTTGTTGACGGAGAACACATTTGTAAATTATAATATAAAAGTTTGTTTGGCGACAACTGATACATTTGCATCTCTTTTATGTACTCACTTGGCAGTCAGGATGTTTGCCCAGTGACCGTATACTACGAACACATATGAAAGCTTTATTTCGATGACAGCATTGTTTGCATACCAGTACTCGAAAAGAAGAAAAGAGAAGTTTTATTCAAGCGGTTACGTTTATACTTTACATCAACAACTCCCTGGTTTTCTCTCTTTTTTCAAGATAAAATATACATGAGATAGCTATAATTAGGCGGAGGAGATCAAAAGAACATGAAACGTTTTGCAGTACTGATATTCTCATATAACCAGCTTACTTCTCTCATTGGAAATTCGTTCCATCAGAATTTAAAAACATACAGCAGACTCTAGAGACTCATTCATGGGAGTTCAACTCGTACTTCAGCAGAACTTTATGGAATTTAAGAATTTCGTGGGAAATTTAATATTTTTCGCTTAAAAACACCTTCGAATAAATCTAAAATTCAATTTCTTTGAGACTTCGACAATCCTCATTTGAAAGAAGTTTCGGATCGAATCATTCGGTAGCTGAACTCTTTGATCACATTCTGATAACAAATGATTTTCAGTAGGTATATTGCACAAGTGAGAGTATGGGATGTCGGATTGAAAGTGAGCCACCCGTACAGTATTTCATGGAGCAATATCGGGAACAGATTCGCCTTTTTGAAACAACAGTTCCTATAGTATTTTTTGTAGTTTGCAGAACTGAAAATTCCTCATTTTTCCATACGTTTTCACCGCAAAACTTTAATCGAGACCACTGAAAAATTTGAGCAAATACACAAGGCGTTATACTGTACAATAATGAACACCGCACTCCAATAGCTTATTTCGTTTTTCAATAGAAGAACAAACAATAGATCGCTCTGGGGTTGGGCCAAAAAAGCAAGAAAAACTGGTTAGAATTGGAAAACGTAGATTTTAAAGATTTTACAGAATTAACCTAAACAAAACGTACAGAAACACTTTGACAACGAATAATCCCACTTAGCACATAGTTCATGTTGGTCAGATTAAAATCTTTGTTAATAAAATCAACTCAACGAGTTCTATCCAATAGGTACATCAGATTTAAAATTGGACACTGAATGAATGCTAGCGTATTCTAGAAAAACTCTAGTGCATCAGATTAGTGTTCGAGCATTTGAATTGTAGATTAACCTGTTCGTTTAATTAGAGAAAAAAGCAGTATAATAAAAGCGATATTAATAACTGTCTGTTCATAATTACCATTCAACTGTAAAATCAATTACTTTACTGTTTTAATTGCAAACTGTCATTTGTACGCCGTTGTTAGTGAACTCTTTTAAATTTGGACAGCATTTAAACGAGTACTTCACAAAATCAAAACAAGGATTCTTTACCGAATAAATATTCAATATCGCTAATGTAGGTATTACGTAAGTTGTTTGAGGTACACTTGTTCGGTAATATGAAGAAAATGTGAAATTAACATGTTGTATATATGGAAGATATTGTAAAATGGAAAATGCATTATCAATATAACATAAATGAATTGTTAAAGTTTTAAGGTGATTTTTTGTTGATAAAATTGTTTGTTCATCATAAAAAAGATTTTCATTATCAGCTGGAAGTATAATTAACTCTTGAAGATTTGTTAAATGAAGAAATATTAATTGAAGTAGTGATGCAATCATTACATTTTTATTCTCGTAATAACCAGCAAATAATCGTCTTATTGATAATCGTTTTAATTTTGATAAGTTTTCAGTAATCACATATTCTGCTTGATGACAGTTAATATCTTCTAACACTAACGATGTAAGACAATCAAATCCAGTAAAGAAAATATGCTTTAAATCAACTTGTCGTCCTAAAAATTTTAAGGCGACTACTTCATGTTTAATTAATGGCATATAGTTTATCCAAAAATTATAAAATTTTGTTGGTGAATATTTTGTAAAACTAAAATATGGTTTATTCATTCTCAAAACAATTATATTCAATCGTAAATTTAAACCAGAAAATGCAAAATAAATATCTTCATTGTAAAGATAATCAAATATCGCATAGAATAGTTCAGATGAAAATTTTTCAATACGCGTATACATTTTTAATAGTTTATCTACAAAGAAAGGACTGAAAATTCAGCATATTTCTAAGATTAAGATACACACTTCCATATTTGTTCCTCAACATAGTTTCCAAAACGGATACAAGCGAAATATGAAGAATATTCTACATATCAGAGAAGTGCAATGTTTATTGTCTATAGTACAGAGAGAATACTCCTAGATGATTCATCCGAATTTGATTATAGCATAGATTTTTAGGAGTTATTTTGATGACCACGAGCCTCATTTTAGAGCTTGAAAAACCGAGTTTCGACGATTGAGAGTCCACGTTATACTTTTCATCTGGCACATCTAGATACATGTAACTCTTTGAGTACATCGAATTCTTTATGGAAAAAAATTTTTAGATCTGAAGAATATTGTTTCACAGAGCTAAACAGAAACATCGTCTGATTTCGTGAAGAACTCGAAACTATTTTAGGACTGATACTTAGAAACATTTTTTAGCTCTATGAAGCAATAATCTTCAAATCTAAAAATTTTTCTGCATAGGAAATTTGGCGTACTGAGTTACATGTATCTGGATGTGACAAATGAAAAGTATAACGTGGACCATCAAAAACCGGCTTTTAAGCTTGAAAGTGAGGTTCATGGTCATCAAAGCAACTCCTAAAAATCTATGCTTTAATCAAACTATTATGAATTATTTGACTTCTCACGAGGGAACCTCTCGAACTGTTACCTCGCCTTTTCAGCCAAACCCAGTAGGTTATATGTATTCGACCACGCTGATTCCGAATATGAACATGAGAGCTGCTCTTACCTCTTCGAAGGTCCGGTAAAAACTAGTTTTTCAGAAACTCTGAAAAATAACCAACACTTTTCTTAACGAGCCACGATGGTAGTGCGCACATTTCTGATTAAAATGAGACATCTCCCACCTCTACATGACCTTTCTTCGCAAACTTACAGAATTTACAAGAAAAGCCCTAAAATAATCTCTTCTTATTTCTGTAGCTTTGAGCTGACAATGAACATTTAGGGCTTGTCTTGTAAATTCTATAACTTTGCAAAGAAAGGTCATGTAGAGGTGGGAGATGTCTCTTTTTAATCAGAAATGTGCACACTGCAATCATGGTTCATTAAAAGAGTTTTGGTTAATTTTCAGAGTTTCTGAAAAGCTGATTTTTTAGAAAACCGGATTTTCGAAACCTTAAGGGCAGCTCTCATGTTCATATTCGGAATTAGCGTGGTCGAATACCTATAACCTACTGGGTTTGGCTGAAAAGGCGAGGTAACGGTTCGATAGGTTTCCTCGTCAGCTAAAATGTCTGGCTTTTCAGTTGAAAACTGAAAAACTCGTGTCATTTTTCTATACTTCTCAGATTAACTGTCATACCATTATTATTTTCAAGGTCAAATTTCCAGGACAAAGAAAACGGTGAAGTTAATAGCTCGCTGAAAGATGGCGGTTAAAATTACTAGTTTTTGATCGGTGAGGCCGTCTTTTGGTCATTTTTTGATCATCCTGGATCTTTTTAAAGTTATAATTAAACTACATTTATTACTACAGAAATATCTTGGCAGCTGGAGTTACAGTTCACCAATAAGTCTGATGAACTCCGAGTCTTCCTGAAAACGAAAGAAAATGTTTTTCATTATCTAAATATTTTCTCTGTCCTTTATATTGTCGATCTAAGCCACAATATAGCAGTGATAAGAGAGCAACGTCATTAACGAGCAGTTTTTTGACCGTTTCCAAAAGGTACCGACCGGCCATTATTTGGCCATTTCTATGCCGTTTCAAGTTATTTCAATACTCATTTGACGAACATTGTTTAAATACCAGTTAATTGACCATTTACTGTCAGTGTTTCTTGCCATGGGTTGCGTATCAAGTGAATATGTTGTATGGAATCAAGTTTAATCATAGCCACTTTCTATAATTCTATTATATTAATCTTTTGGTTTAATATATAACGGAGATTTTGTTAATTTCTATAAATAATCTATCTCAAGCCTTCTAGCTTCCAGAACAGTTTCATTGTAAATGTCTTGTATAGCTAAGGAACATTGGTTTTAGCTTGATAAACATTCCAGTAACCGCTGAGTAAAAAGTGACATTCTGTTCGTATTTTGAAAACATTACGGATAAATATAAATCCATCTGATAATAATATTTCCATTCCCACTATCAGCCAATAAACACCAATAAACACCTCTCTATGGTAGTAGACAATCGAATGACACATCACTAAATGCAGTTTTAGACGTTGAGCATGAATATGACATTAGTTTCTGATGAAAAAGCCTTTTTATGAGTGAAAATCGCGTTCTAATGTTAGAAAAATGCGGTTTTCCCTCCGAACTGAAAAGTCGCAAATTTCTCTTTTCATACCCCTATACAATAACTACTTGACTACATGATGATGCAGAGATATCCAAAAAAATGTTTGTACTTCCGTGCAGAAAAGATATTTCAAAAATAGCCCTAAAATCCAAAAATGATGATGACTCATCATTGATCATGTGACACACACAGTGGCTCACATGACGCACATGGTGGCTCACGTGGCTGGGGTCATCAGTAGTGTAGACATCAACTTAAATAATAACGCCGATCGGACCTCACTACCACTTTACAAAGCTCTGATATTTTTATTTTGCTGAAACCGGTGTGTCATGCTCAAACCGCTATTTTTGTCTCGGGACTAGTTTTGAAAACTTCATAGCTCAGTAACCAACCATACATTATTTTTTCAAATGCCAAACGTCATTTTACTCAGAAATGTTTGCTCTTTCATATAAGACCGAAAGCTGTCGATAATATTCTTTGAGTCTGTACAACTTGGATAGTGGCTTACGTGCAATTGGTGCTATCTAAAATTATACAATAAAACCATCGAATATTTTATTCATTACGTATACAAAAACGATAAGCTTCCTGTACGATATGAAGAGAAATAAAGTTTATTTTTTATCATAGAGAGAATATAGACTTTGAACAAGAAATACTAAGAAAGAGAATAAAGTTTGAAAAATACTGATAGTAAAAATTGAGAGTCATCGCGTATTCGTGTCAAATAGTACGAAAAAGACAAAAAGAAGGAAAAGAAAGAAGAGATAGTCACGTAGGAATGTAATCGACAATCATCGTTATTATCATAGACTACTACATAACAATTGTTACAGTCGCTAAATGAGAAACAAGAAAATTTGCTTTGTTAAAATTGAACTATTCCACTTCCATTAAGGGTAATTTCATTCATCTTTATTGCGACACACATATTACGAAAATATAAACAGATTGTGATATTTTCTTCATAGATCTTCGTTAAAGGTACCCCTCCTCTTTTTTGTAGAAAAGATGTCGTTTTGAACTGGACATAGTCTAATGTAGAGGAAAGTCTGAGCTATAAAATGAGACCATTCCCAGCTCTTCATGATCTTCCTCGACAAAATTATGCAGTTTTTAAGTTTTTTCTTCAGAGTCTAGAAAATCTCAACGTTTTAGGTTTGTAAATTTTTTTCTCCTTTTCTATATATTCAGAATGTTTTCTTACATACAGTATGATAGAAGAAAGTGTGCTCTTCAAAATGAGACGTTTTCGAGAATTTTCCAATGATTTTCCTTAGAGATATAAGCATAGCCGCAAATGTCCTGAAAAACACAGCCGTGTGTACAGTGTGTTTTTTCAATAGTCCCTTCAATTGGTACACATTACGACCCCTCGAAAAAATGGTCCGGTCGAGCTCAAAATTTTACCACAGATACTCCAGACTCTGTCTCAGGTTTTTTATTTTTTAAAA